AAATGACCGGAACGAAACAAAATTAACTTGTAATCGAGGATTTCGCTGGATAGGTGGTAGTACTTCAAATGACTCGATATGTCGTCCCGGTGTCCTAGCGGATTTTGACCCCCTGCTCGGATTTGGACCCCCCAACAAAACTGAGTGAAAACATCATCCTTAACGTTTTTAATAGAGAAGTATGCTTTTATTTCAAAACATGCGTATTGCCAATGCATACGAACTGGCAGCCGGAAATGACCCATCGGATATTTCTTTTGACCAAGGGAAAATGGGCAAGCATTTAGTTTAATGTTTGGAGAAAGGTCGTTTTTGAACCTTTTCCGTGATAGTCGAACACCGCTAGATTCAATAAGAGACAAACCTGTGACACTAATTTCTTTTGTTATTGTTCAATACCCGAGTGTTGGGACGACATGATACAAAGCGAGTCGTGCGAGGAATGGTTTCACATGAGCTGCGAGGTATTTAAGACTGCCCCGGAGGGCGAGAGGTTCTGCATTGTTCGTAGACCGCCAGACTCTAGACGTCTTCGTAACTGTTAAGGTGTTATTTCGGATCCCTCAACGGTTACTAATCGTTAAAATTAGAGAATAAGATTGAGTTCGATGTAATAGTCTCCACTTTTGTTAAAACGTAGACATTAAAGTTGATTTGCATCTGAAAATAAGCTGAGTGTTCTTATAGTTCAGAATAAAACATTTTTACTTATCATAGGCTTTACGAACGACTTGTAGTAGGAGTAATTACTTCGTTCTTGTTCAGACTGACTGTTTAAGGTTATTTAATTAGAAAATCAGACTGAGTTATTTTTGTGACGGGACGCAATAGTCTCCACTATTGTTATGACGTTTCGTATCAATATTGATTCTCATAAGAAGAAGCAAAGATCTACTGTAACTACTTCAGTAGTTTGTTCGCATCTAATTCTTGCGTATACTGTACGACTCGCTATAATAAATGCGGCAGAATTGGAACGAAATGGCTGTTTTCTCTAGCTTTTTTGAGGAATGTTGTGTTGTGACAAAATGTTGTGATTCGACAAAAAGCTTGCAACTAGAATTAGTTATCAAATATGATACAAACGATGCTTAAAAGGAAAGTTTGGTAGGGGGTCCAAATCTGCGAAGGGGGGTCCAT